GGTTTCCTTGATTTCTATTGTTCCCCATTTTTCTGTTCCATTGATTTCCACCCTAATCTTTATCATTTCTTTTCTTCTGCTTACTTGGGGTTTCATTTGCTCGTCTTTTCCTAGTTTTCTTAAGGTTGGAAGCTAAAGTCATTAATTTGAGACCTTACTTTTATTCTAATATGGGCCTCGAGGGCTATAAATTTCCTGCAAACTTTTGCTTTAGCTGCAACCCACAAGGATATTTTACTGTCCCTCTTCCACCTTATAAGACAGATATAAACCTCATGGAGACAGAATTTTCATATTTTGAATTTCAGTTTGTGCATGTTTCATATTTTCCAGGTCTCCCCTAAATCAGCTCATGCTTTCCTCTACCTCTTAGACTTATGGAAAGTAGTTAGAGTAAGTATCGTTACTATTGTTTTAATGTTCTTATATACTAGTTCTATCATCTGTATCATTTGGGGGTCTTTTCTAATTTATTGGTTTTTCTCCTCATTATAGGTCATGTTTTCTGCTTCTCCACATGCTTGCTAACTTTTGATTGGTTATAAGACATTGCAAGTTTTACCTGGTTGGGTACTGGATATTCTTGTATTCTTTTTTTTTTTTTTTTTAAAGATTTTATTATTTATTTGAGAGAGAGAGTGAGAGAGAGAGAGAAGCACAAGAGGGGGGAGCGGGAGAGGGAGAAGCAGACTCCCTGCCGAGCAGGAGCCCGATGTGGGACTCAATCCAGGGACTCCAGGATCATGACCTGAGCCGAAGGCAGTCACTTAACCAACTGAGCCACCCAGGCACCCTCTTGTATTCTTTTAAATATTCTTGAACTTTGTTCTGTGATGCAGTTAAGTTACTTGACAGTGAGTTTGATCCTTCAGGCTTGCTTTTAAGTTACGTTCGATAGGACCAGAGCAGCCTTTAGTCTAGGGCTAAGTTTACCTCACTACCAACACAATTACTTTCTGGGCACTACACCCAGTGTCCAGTATATTACAAGGTTTTTCCTCTGGCTGTGAGAACATGAACTATTCCTGGCCCCGTGTGAATGCTAGGGATTATTCTGCCTGCTCCTTTCTGATGGCTCTTTTGCCGTCCTTGGTTAAGTATCTTTATAAGCATGAGATTAATGCTCAGCTGAAGACTTGAAGGGCATCTGCTACAGATCCGCAAAGCCTCTGCGTCCAGCTCTTCCGTCACCAGTAGTCTCCTCCCCTGCAAATCCCAGCTGCGTTGGCCTCCCCAAATTCACAGCTCTGTCTTCCCAGTGCAGAGAGACCACCGGTGTCTATTTGGCTTACCTCTCCCTATGGAACCTGGAAGTTGGTTCTACGTAGTAAACTGGATGATCAAAGGGTTCATTTTGTGTCCCTTCTCTTGGGGCTGTCCTGTGTGGTTTGTTGTCCAATGTCCAATGTCTATTTTGTACATTCTCTAGTTTTTCTTTTTTTCTTTAAGGTGGGAAAGTAGATTCTGTCCCTATTTTTAATGTAATGCTATAAATAATCCAGAACAACAACAACAAATGCCCACATCTTCAAATGTCTAAAACCTAGCACAGAAAAGACCCCTCTCTCCTGACAGGGGAAATTTTCCAATAGAAACAGAATCCCATTTTCCTAAACCCATTTGACAACTGTTTTGACTACCAAGTGAGAAAGGAACTTTGTTAAAAGAAGATTTCCTAAATGGAGATTTACTGTAAACAAATTCTACTCAATTTACCACCACAAGTGGTAATTACCTCACATGCCTGACTCACCCTCTGTAATTCTCTTACTACGGGCAGTTCTGTCAGATGCTGCAGGAGGAACGCCGTAGCCTTAGTCTCTCCCATTTGCACAGATGATGCTTCTAGTTTTCACAACACAATATGATGTCTCGGAGGCTAAACTGACGGTAAGGAGCCTTGCCAAACAGAAGGCTTTATACTGCAAGTGTTGTAACAAGAAGCAAATGGCTTTCCAAGGAGCACTTAGCTGTACAGAAAAGAGTTCCAAATTATTTCTGAAAGTAAGAGAAGCCCATAATCCAGCATTTGATGATCCTCCGAGGCCAAGGTGGAAATGCACTTTTCAAGCAAATCCCCCTTTAAGAGAGGCAGAAATGGCAGCACACATGTGAAGTAAGGTCTGTAGGTGGGTTCAAAGAGACCAGGAAAAGTTGATTTTCTTCCATGATCACTTTCAAATATCTCAGTGGGACATCACTTTAATCACTGAAGTAAGCTCGGCCCTTGTATTATGTTGTAAAAGGTGAATGGGAACAAATATCAAGAAGGTGCCAGAAGTCCCAGAGCATTTAGGAATCTTCTTGGCTTTCCCTACAATTTTCATTTGCTCAACAATTGACCATTTCTATTCACAAATTGTTTTCCTGAGCTGGGGTCGAGAGTGCATGGGGTCTAAGGAAAATGTCCTGCCAGGCAGGGAGGGCCAGATTAAAACCCAACTGGGCAGTACCCAAAGGTTGTCTACAGGGTCTCTGTACCTCTCATGACCTTCAGATGCCTTCTTCGTTCCACCCTCCCCCCTCCGTCAAGACTTACCCCAGACCCAGCCATCTATCTCCATGCTCTATACCAGGGCTACTCAAAGTGTGGTATGTACCAGTCCACAGAGATAAGTAGGGATTGAGCGTAGACACTGGGAAACTCTTACAGCAATTGACAGAGTAATTTTAAATCAATTTAATGTAATAACAAAAAACTAGCACTTGTATTTTGCACTTTTACTTCATTTTTTCTAGTAATTTATTTTTATTATATTTTATAAAAGTAACTGTCTATAATAATTTGGAAATTAAAAAAGAGAGACCTGATCCTTCACCACAAATAGCTTGAGAAGCACTGTTTCCCTTTCCCCTTCATCAAATCTAGTGCCAATGTCCAAGAGTACATGGGGGTGTTAGACACACAGAAAAGTATAGGCTACAGAAGGAGAGGTCAACTGGTCCCAAAATGTGGCCACAGGATCTGCACTGAGTTTTAGCCTCAGGAACTGCTGCTCTGTCTGATTTAAAATAAAGTAGCATGATACGATCCCACAGATTCCTATTGTTTCTAACATGAAAGTTCTAAGGTTGGATAAAATCTACGTAGTAAAGCCCCATACGATGCCCAAATGAAGTTAGCTGTAAGTCATCAGTTGAGGATTAAAACTTGCATATACATATCATTTCAAAAGAAATCAACCAACAAGGGTAAATAGCTAAGCAAAGCAATTAACACTGGGGATAGCAGCTGGACCAAATACCAGGTAGACAGTAAACTGAACAGTGTGAACGCTACATAGAAACTTAGAAATGTGTACAAAATAGCACCATTGTATTTATTGCAGCAATGTTTATAATGTCAAAAAAAAAAAAAAAAAAACCAACCCTGTGGTTAAGTAAAGGTCCATCAATAAGGAAATGGTTGAACAATTTAGACAATGTCCTCACTCAAAAGATTGAGTTAGATCTCTCCTAGTTGACCTGGAGGTATTTCACAGCATTTTGAAAAGTAAAAAAGGAAGACACAGAGAAGTATTTGTATATTATGTATCCCAGTTTTTAAATGGGGGAGGAGGAGAAAGCTTATCTTTGTGGATATTGAAGGTGAGGTATTATTTTATAAGATTATTAGATAGAAGAAGGTATGAAGTCTATCCTCCGGCAAGATTAGCTACTTGGTGTTGGGGTGGAAGGTTCAAGCAAGTAATGAGATCAAAGCAAGCCTCTTTCAAAGTCTTTATAATTTCTAACATAAGCTGCTAGACCGTTTATGTAAAATGACACATACAAGCCTGCGTGTGCCTGGGTATCTCTCTCTATAAGTATGTGTGTGTGCATATATCTACCTACCTACCTACCTACCTACCCGTGTCTATCTACCTGTCTACCTACCTGTATCTATCAAGAGCTGTCTGTCTGTCCATCTATCTACAGAGAGCTGTTAAAGATTGGTCACCAAAGTTATGGTGGTCATCTTGCCCAGGCACAGGGGAGGATCCTGGTGACTTTTTTCTCCCTTATATGTTTCTCTCTTGTTTGGATGTTTACAACAACCAGGTATTACTTATATATAAGAAAAGAGCAGCAACGCTACAACACTCACTTGTATCGTCGACGTCTCCCTCATTTCCCACCTCCAAGCCCTGTGTTTCGTTCGGGTCCGGCCCTTCCTCCCTGGTCCTGCGCATTTCAGTCCAGGCTCTCACTGTCCCGGGCCCCTGCCTCTGTCTCTCCCCTCTCCAGCCAATCCTCCACATGGACGCCAGAGTGACCTTGATGGAACACCTATCTGTCCATGACGCTCCCCCGCCTGCACCTCTTCTAGGCTGCTCGGTGCCCTGAGGGGTGGTTCTCGGCCCAGGTGTGCAGTGTAATCTCTGGCATGGCACGGCCCTCCTCGACCATGCACACCTCCCTCTGCTCTTCTCCCGCACCGTCTGCATAATGTATGCCCATCCCTGAAGACGCGCTCCAACACCGTTTCCTTCTGCAACCACTCCAGCGTCTCTGCTGCTTTCCCACAGTCCTCTGTACATAGTCTATTAGACCACTGATCATTCTTTTCAATGATTTGTCCCTCTTCCTCCCTACACTATGAACTACTGGAAGGCAGGACTGTATCTTCAATGTCTTTACCAAATGAATAAATGAAATCAATGAATGAATGAGTCTGAAAAAGCAAAGCAGTAAATATAAATGCACGTCAACCATGCCTGTATAAACGATGAACAAAGGCTGCAAAGTAAGTATTCTAAAGTTCATTTTTTTTCTTTTCCAGCAAAGTGGCTTGAGCCGCTTTTTAAATTACTTCCAGAAATTCAGTCAGTGAATAATTTATTTTCAAGTTACCAAAAGTTAACTGCACTTTAAATCCCTATAAAATGAAACAGAAGTCAGAAAGAAAGCCATTTCCCCTTCTTAAGTAAAATAAGTTCAGTGCTGTTCTTCATTCTATGCCAGTTCTAGAAACAGCAACTCTCCCCCATAAAACACAGCCCAGCTGTGTGGCTACTTACTGGAGTTGAGGAGGACCATGGCCTTGACACAGAGATACTCTTTGTGTTGGAGTTTTAACTCACGGAACCTTGAAGTTGTTGCCAAGAGCATGTCGAAGATTTCCAGAATTCCTTCTACGCATTTCCCCTCATCCCTACAAAAGTTCATTTGGAAATTTAAGAAACATGCAGCACTAGGCAACCATCAAAAGTAATAAGGAATATTTTCTTGTTAATCTCAAATTTCATCTTGTACATCTTTTAACAAAATGGTAATGAAAGCACCTCCAGTGACACAAAATTATTAGGATTATCTTCATATAAAGAGGACAGGGAACTTTCCCTAAATTCCAAAAGCAAACATTTGAATAAATACTATTTAGGCAAAAATGTGCATTGGAAATACACTTCCCTTCTACCTGCTCACCAAATGTTTTCTTTAACAGAATACCATTTCTGTTGATTATTTTCGATCTAAACCATTTCAGCCAACCAGCCAGAGTTATGACACATATTGCTAAAATGAGACATTCCATGTTCCCATCAGAAGACTCTGAAGTGCTAATGAGGAAGACTGAATGTTTACCGAAGCAAATGCCCTAAGAAGAAACAACCTTCACATCTATGGCTTAACTCACTCCCCGGTGGTCATTTAGAAACTGGTGAGGCAACTAAGAGACATTTAACATAACTTGAAAAAAAGCTAGTCTGGGGGCGCCTGGGTGGCTCAGTCATTAAGATTCCGCCTTCGGCTCAGGTCATGATCCCAGGGTCCTGGGATTGAGCCCCGCATCCGGCTCCCTGCTCGGCGGGAAGCCTGCTTCTCCCTCTCCCGCTCCCCCTGCTTGTATTCCCTCTCTCTCGCTGTGTCTCTCTCTGTCAGATAAATAAATAAAATCTTTAAAAAAAGAAAAAAAGCTAGTCTGATACACCAAGAAATCACAATTAGAGGAGACGGATTAGAACGAGGAAAGGAAGGTAGAAAGGGAGACATGAACATTTTTGACTTGCCAAAGATTATTTTTAAGCAAAAGTTTTAGACAAACTTTGAACCATATAATCAAAATTCTTTTGAACACTCACAGAAATGAATTTTTATGCATACTTTTGAAGGAAATTACTTGAACTGTATTTAGAAAATACCAGCTTCAATTCACTCCAGCCAGACACACATTATTCTGCCTCACTGCTCCCCCAAAAAACTTCTATTGTCATCAGTCGTAGTCCTTGGAAGCCCTTGACAAGCAGTTGGATGATTTTGCCTTGAAACTCATTTGCGTCTCAACACCTGCAGTGCAGGATGAAGGAGAGCCTGGCAGCAGTGGGCGTCTGCCAGTTTCATCTTTAGTCTCCCCCGCAGCCCCTGAAGGGGACCTGAGATCTTTAGAGAACTGGCTGCTCCACTCCTTCCTTCCCCCAGCCCCAAGCCAGGACATTTCTAGTGATGGTGGCGGCTGGGGAAAGGGTCTCTGTGGAACCCAGCGGACACCAGTGGGAACCACGATGCTGGTGCACCCTTTCCCACCGGGTTCTCTGTGAGGGCAGCAGCTTGCCAGGACCCTGTGTCCCATAGCATTCAACGCCCCCATCTCAGACTCACCTACACAAAGCTACCAGCAAGAAAATTGTGAGTTCCAAACAAAACTGGTAACTTCTGCAACCACCTGAGGCTTTCTGAAAATGCACAGGTTAAGTGATAAAACACCAATGCCCCCTGGAAGTCACTCACAGAGAAAGGCTACCTTGGAAAATCAGAGCCCTGGGCGAGGGGTGCCGAAACCCATAGGAAACCGCCAACCTTCCTCAAGTCCTGTCCTCCCCACCTCCTCTGCTCCGGGCTGTCCCAGGCAGCCTGTGGCAAGTGCCCAGTGAGGACAACGTATGCTGTGCACATAGCAGATGCACAAGAAATACCTGTGCACCAAATGCCCCCCATGCCGCATAATCAAATCACTGTGCTTGGGGACAATTAATTACTGAAAATTGTCATTGTTGGGCTTGAGGACATCTGACACCGAGAAAAGCTGGTTCTAAAATATCTTGGGGTCGGGGGGGCACCTGGCTGACTCAATCCGTAGAGCATGCGACTTGATCTCAGGGCTGTAAGTTTGAGCCCCACAGTGGGTATAGAGATCACTTAAAAATAAAATCTTAAAAAAAAAAAAAAATAAAGTATCTCTGGGGACAAAAATCAAAAGCCCACCAAGTCCTGCATTGATTGTTTAATAGTTTGGCTCTTTACTTTTCTGTGAGACTCAGTCAGAGGTGGGGTCATGAACATGTAGGTGCACATGTACACACATGCACGCACACGCACGCACACGCACGCACACACCCTGCTCCCCAAATAGTATAAGAGGATTCATCTGAAATCAACCCTATTTTGCAGAGGTTGCCACTTGTACCAAAAAACACATCCCTGCGTATTGAAATTAGTAGCATTTCCTCCTTGAAATGCATGCCATTTTAAATGTAAATTCATATTTCAAAAATGGAGGGAGAGTTTATATTCTAGAGCATCCTAAGCCCTGAGAAATGCTCTAACTCACAATAATCAGAACATGCGTACCTCATGGAAAAAGTGAATCTCTAAACTAATTCTAAAGAACGAAGTCTGATTGCTTTTACCAGAGGTGTGATAGCCAACCACTTCATTCAAGGGTTGGCATGGTTAGAATATTTTTACTCACTTCAAAGGCTAGAGAAACCAAATATATTTTTTTAGGAAAGAAATGAAAAATATAGGAAATAAGGTACAATACCTCATAAATGACACCCTAATAAAGTTCTGCCTGAAAAGAGTTTAAATAACACATTAATGAGATCTATTACACTTATTTCATAACTACGGAATGAAACTGAATTAGGAGTAAGAAATTAGGATAAGATTAAAAGATTTTAATTAAAGAGAGAGGACACATGATTTCAATGTTAAAATATCGAAACAATCTATAATCAAACCAACCCACTCCCAGAAGCTTAACTTTTGCGCGGCATTTGTCCATAAACTAGGGCTAAGCAAAAATAAAATTAGTTAAGTACATGTGGAATGTCTTATTATGTGATAACCACTCCTTTATAAAAGGAAAAGCTTCTGTTTGATACCAAGGACAAAATGTTGAATGAGTGGACACCGCTTTGGGTGCCCTATTTTGTGCCTACATACATACGCGCTAGGGGCACACACGTGGGCGTATGTAGACCACAGTTCACTTCCGGTGGGGAGGGGGACACTAGGGTGCGGGGGCTCCAGGCTTAACACGCGGAGAGGACTTAAATATTAAACTGATGTGGAAATTACCTACATACAAAAAGGGATATTTTAAAGTGAAAATTCTTTGGGAATCTTGAAATTCAATGCACAAATAGCTAACGTGAAAGCAAACTCAGTACATTCACAATACGATTCCAGGGAATTCCATAAACGTCCACAATGGGGTCCACACCCGGATCCAAACTCCCTCTGACTTTTTAATATGTAACATTAGACAGTTTCCTATTGATGCCAAGGACATCAATGTCTTAGCGTATATGATTTTTTTTTTAAAGATTTTATTTATTTATTTGACAGAGAGAGACACAGCGAGAGAGGGAACACAAGCAGGGGGAGTGGGAGAGGGAGAAGCAGGCTTCCCGCGGAGCAGGGAGCCCGATGCGGGGCTCGATCCCAGGACCCTGGGATCATGACCTGAGCCGAAGGCAGACGCTTAACGACTGAGCCACCCAGGCGCCCCGCATATATGATTTTTTTAAGCGAGCAGAAGCCCAGATTCTGTGGTAGATCTCCACATGAATTTGTAACTCTAGTGATTACTGAGAGAACCACCTTGTTTAGCAATAAGCTGAGGTAACCGGGTTTTCCTCTCATCCTGAACTGGTTCAAGTCTTCTCGCCACAGAAGCCTCAACAAGAATGAGGGACAACAGCAATTACTGTCTCAGGCTGTACAGCTGAGCTCATTTGGTTGTATTCACCAGCTTGTCCTGTCACACCACCACTGGAAGGAACTCTCATAGGACAATCTGCCAAAAGACAGCGATTTTCAAACACTGTGCAAATTATTTATTCATGTTGCAGAAAAATCTCCTAGTACTTCTTTATGATGTGTAATCTCTGACTTTCTGAATAAAGAACATTTAGAGCATTTTTGAATAGACAACCCCTCCAGAAACACGCGTTTACATAAAACAGTACTCATCATGCATGAAGGAACTGAATTATCTTAGACTTGAAATTCTAGACATCACAAAGTTTATGTGTTGGCAATACTAGAGATTGCGACAAAAAATAACCATGATAGGTGCTATCAAAAATGCCAGCTCAATGTGAAGGCATTTACAGTTCCAGAGACTCCTCTCCTATACTCAGATATACTAGATTTGTATGCAGTACAACACGATACTTTCAAATATTTATAAAAAGTAATGTGAGGGGAGCCTGGGTGGCTCAGTCAGTGAAGCATCCAACTCTTGATTTTGGCTCAGGTCGTGATCTCAGAATCATGGGATCAGGCCTCATGTCAGGCTCCACACTCAGCATGGAGTCTCCTGGTCCCACTCCCTCTGCTCCTCCCCCTGCTCTCTCTCTCTCTCAAATAAATAAACAAACAAATAAAATCTTTAAAAAGTACTGTGAGTCTATTAAAATAATTTGTAAGAAAAATTACTTTTTTTTTCTTCTATTACTTAACCAAAAGGTAGGCCTAAAATTTGTCCAGGATGTGTGTCCATTTACAGTAACTTACATTTACAGGAATTAAAGAACCCAAACAAAGGGGAGAGTTAATTCTACTAAAAACCAGTCACTGAACATAAACATTAAATGTGACATCAATTTAGAAATCAACACAAAAAGTAAAATAACTTAATCCCAGTGTCTGCAAATGTAATGACTAATCAAGGGATGAAACTTCTTCCTAGCACTAACTTCTAGGAGAATTACATGTGTATATTTATGTGTGTGTGGCTTCATTTGAACACCAAGTGGAACAGCATGTCCTGTTATACAGGTAACTACTGTTATATTTAAGAACACGGACTTCACAGCCAGCCCCAGCATCCAGCTCCAGCATTTACTGCTCTGTAACTGCCAGCAAATTACCTAACCCTCCCCCCATTTCCACATTTGAAGAATAGGGATAATAATGGCGCTTACTCATTAAGGGCTGTTAAGAAAATGAAATGAGTTAACACATCAAGTGCATAAGATGGTGCCTAGCATATAGGCAATAGCTTGGCTATTTTGATTGCTACTGAAGGGTCTGGACTTCCAGAACCTTCTTCCATGGTTCAACACCTGGGCTTGCTCCTGCCACAGCCCAAGCTCCAGCTCTTGCCAAAGGCTCTGTTCTCCACCAAAATACCTCTGTTACTTAGAACAGTGCTCTTTGTCAATGTTGTCATCCAGGACAACAGGCAGAATGGGTGCTAAAATCTTGGGGGTATCACTTTTTATCTGTGTAATATGTGCACAGGGGTCTTCTGATGATCCAAAGAAGTAATACCAAGGGTTGGGCGCAGATGCTCTCCATCCGTATAATGGCATCCTTCTACTCTGTGCACAGAGTCCAATGTGACTGAACATTCTACTTTAGAACTGTTTCAAAATAAGGAACATGGAAATCAATTTCCATCGAGATTTTCAACCTGCTCAAATATGTAACAAGAAAGTGTTCTATTTTTTGTACTAAAATTTTGAGTGTTGTATATTCTAGCTCTTCCTCCATGAAGAGTTCACCTGAATCGATTAAAAATGGGTTCCTTTTGGGGCGCCTGGGTGGCTCAGATGGTTAAGCATCTGTCTTCAGCTCGGGTCATGGTCCTGGGGTCCTGGGATCGAGCCCCACGTCCTGCTCCTGGCTCGGCGGGGAGCCTGCTTCTCCCTCTGCCTCTGCCTCTTCCCCTGCTCATGCTCTCTATCTCTGTGTCTCAAATGAATAGGTAAAATCTTAAAAAAAAAAAAAAAAAAAAAAAATAGGTTCCTTTTCTGTGCCATCTTTAAAAGGAAACAAAATGAAATCGAGTGATGGCTTTGGTACTATCCTTCCCCAATTTCCATTACCTTTCATTTGGTTTTAATAACCATTCTTTCCACTGCTATTGTCAACAATGCTATAGAGTATATGCAGTTAGAGTCAAAGCGCGTTAAAAGAAACTTAGCAGATTTGTAAGAATTCTATCACCTTTCTAGACAGAGATAGACATGGTCCCTATAAAGTGGAAACCAAACAGCAGGGCAATTTAAAATTATAAACTGAAAATGGAATTTTTAATGCAGAAAAATCTAAGTTGACTTGTACAGTTAGTAGCCACATATTCTGCAAGATATAGGCCCTGCTATGGCTTGGCCTGTAAATGCTGCCCCACCACAGGTCAGAATGAGTCACAGGACACTGAATCCTAGGACCCATGCTCTCCTTCTCCAGCTCTTGACCTGGGGTAGGAGCTCATGACATTATCATCCTCTTAATTGCCCTTTTAGGTGTGAGATTTTAATTGTGGCACCCAGGACTCAAACAGGTCAGAGAAGAAACACGATGTATTTTTTTCTCACCTGTCCAGAACGAGGTCTGGAGCAAAGATGAGCTTGCCCGGGTGGTCAATGGAGCGCCACATCAGCCCCACCATCAGCACCTCCATCCAGCAGCTCTCCAAGAGGCGCACTTGGTCGTAGAGACTGAGCTCCACAAAGCCTAGGGAAAGCAAGAGGCCGTGAGACATATCCACTCTGCTCCTCAACTCCCTGTTTCTGTGAAAACAGAAGAGCAAGTTCTAACAAGCTATGAAAACACAAGCAATATAGGGAAACACTCAATATTTTAAAAATGTGGTTAAATGCTGACCTAAGGAAGGAAATTTTGAACTCAGAGTACGTAACTCACAATGTCCAGCCTTGGATGCCTTCTAGAGATGACCATATTCCTTTTAAGGTTTGTAAAGGACTATTAACTTGGGCTTACAGCTCCCCAGACAAATGCTAGGGAAGAACAGAAAGCTAGAACAGATCATTTTCAGTCATATTTTAAAAATTCCTCTGCACTGCTGAGAAAGATAATAGTCGGCTGCCAGCCAGAGGCTGCCTGTCTGGCCCAGTTCACAAGAGGGGCTGGGAGGGGTGGAGGGATGGGATGGGGGAGCTGGGAGTCCGGGACATGCAGAGAGAACAGCACCAGCCCCCTGCAGAAAGTCAAGGCTTCAAATGAAAGATATCTCCGATTGCTTAAAATTTCAGTGTTAGAATCATTCTTCTGATTAGGAGCACTGTCTCTAGGCTCTTCTATCCTGAAAAGCAAATGTAACAATCGAAGCAGGTCCCAATAGCCTGATAACCTAACAGCATGGATTGGTCCAAATATCAGAAAGAAACAGGTAATCTCTAGGGAGGTGAGCACTTTAAAAGCAAAGCAGAGATCACTGGTGCTTCCTCCACAAACCATGATAAAAAGAGAAGGCAGTGTAATATAAAAACTAACCAAACACATAGCCCAGGAGTGCAGTGGACTCCAGTTACGATCCCGGCTCAGCCCCATCCTAGCTAGTTACTCAGTCTCCTTTTAAGTCGATTATCTTACAGAAAAAATGGGAGTAACAAGGCCTACCCTCTGACAAGGCCCTGCAGGCAGCCTCTCTCAGCATCCTCATTTTACAGATGAGGAGACCATGGCACAGGAAGCACATGAGTGTGAGCAATATAACGCCGACAGGCACAAAGGAGAACTGAATGGAGGGAGTCACAAATGAAAGATGGCTCAGTCCTTCTCCAAAGTCACACCCTGTCCTAACACTGTATGCGTTCCAATCTCCCTTGCAGTTACAGACAATAAGCCTGCCCATAGGAGATTAGGCTTCTTATATTTGCAGCTATCCAACAAGGTCAAGGCTAGGTGATATTTTACTTTTTCTTTTTTTAATTTTGGAAAATGACTACCTGCCGAGAGAGGAAAGAAAATCACACCTTTAGACGATGCCTAAATTTTCTGAAAATTTGTTTAAAACACCAGGCTTAACGAAGGACTAATGCAGCTCAAGAATTCAGTTTTGTTATGGCACAAAGAAGCTGCATGGCCTTCAATGATCATTAATTTCACCACCACTCTCCACATGGCGTCCTGAACACCAGTGTTTGGCATACATGCAGCGCAACAGCTAGAGGAAGATGCCTCAGTATTGTCTCCTATGAAAAGAGCAGAGAAAATAACATGATTCTGGCTAAGGTGAAGATCTAGACTATCAAAACAAAACTAGAAACCAGAAGATCCGCAGGAAGCTCAGAGGGAATGGGCCCAAGCCAATGAATGACCCAAGAAATACTATTACACCAGGCCTGGAGTCCCACAGCTCCTCACCCCCAACTCCTCCTCACCCAGCTTCTCAGCAGTTTCCAGGCTTTATACTTCGTCTAAAGCGGTTGCAGCCTCCAGGCCATGGGAACTGTCCCTAGGGGTTTAGAACCTGGAGAGAGACCTCATTCTTAGATGACCGTAAATATGCACATGAAGGAACCCTTTCAGGAGGTTGGGCTGCTTGCCATTCTGTGTTAGAATTCTAGATTCACTGTCACAGAAACACCGATTCAAATGATAACGAGGTGGTAATTTTAGCACAATGCAGTATTTCAGGTATATATTACAAACTGGCCTGACCCTAGAATTTCTTGCCCAAATGGTCACTTTTGGCCCACTTCTAGAGTCTGGGTGGGTTTTTTTCTTGGGTCTACCCTCTCAGACCACATCTCAGCATGAGAGGTGTCCAACAGGCTCGTGTGCATAGAAGATGTGGCCACAGAGGATAGGGTGTGGACAAGGCCCTGTGGGATGGTTCTGGGGTGGGAAAAGAAGAGAGGTAGCCATGGAAGGAGTCTCACCAAATACCATTCTTCTTGCATTCGCGTGTCCAGTAGAGAACTCAGAAGAGTCCAAGAACTCTAAATTGAAGCCAGACCTTCTAAGACATGCTAAAGGCATGTATGTCAAGATAGTAAGAAAGAACATATCTCATTTAAAGATTATAAATCAAGCTGTCAAATTGTTACACAACCAGACATCATCTGTGGACCTCCATTTTGTACTCTTGCCCTATAAATGTTAGGGGCAGGCCTTTCTACCATAAATGAAAAGCTAAGATCCAGAAAGCTCTACCTGGAATTTTCTTGGCCCAGCCAATCATGTGCACCAGCTCCTTGTCGGCCAGCTTGGTCAAGGACATCATCATGGAGGCCTCGGTGAAGGGCGTGCTGGGGCGGCTCACGAGCACGTGGGGCGGCTCCGCCTCCAGTAGCGTGAGCACCAGCTGCTCCGGGCTCAGGGCGCTCAGCAGCAGCTCCTTCACTCGGGTCACGGGTCCACCATTTTTCGTGGCTTTGCTCAGGCAGTGCAGCTGCTCATCTGAACTTTTCTGCCTTCGCATAACACGGTACCCACACCTTTCTCTCCGGGAGCCTAAACCAGAGAGATGATAACACAGTACTTACCCGTGGCTTCCCCAACCCAGCGTTCAAGTTCCCTGAGCCTCCAGGGCAAGTGTGAGGTAATGACCTGAGTCTATCCTCACAGCGTATCTGCCAACAGAAGCCCAACTTATTTCCTGGAACCTGTGGGGCCAGTACCAAAGATTATTACATTTGCGTCTATTTTAACAAAATCAAAATATGACTTTTTAGGGACAGTAGCCCAAATGACCTTAGGACTCCATTTCAAGATTACCTATGGATACTAAATCTATTTTCTTTTAAAGAGTGCTGACATACCTCGGTTTCCAAACCACAGAATTAGGAATTTTCTTCAGACAAAACATGGGGAAAAGTTAGGAACCGAACATTGATATTTACAAATAGTTATCAAATAATATACTCTTAAAATATATTCTTAAAATGTTCATGTGCATGTATGTGTGTTTACACAGACATATGTATTCTTTTTACATATTTGTACAAATAAATACATTTCAAGCAATAATTTTCTTAAAAATCTGAAAAATATAGAAGAGTACAAATTTTGGCATAAATTCAGTTTTTTTTTAAATTATTTATTTATTTATTTATTTATTTGACAGAGAGAGACACAGCGAGAGAGGGAACACAAGCAGGGGGAGAGGGAGAGGGAGAAGCAGGCTCCCTGCTGAACAGAGAGCCCGATGTGGGGCTCGATCCCAGGTCCCTGAGATCATAACCTAAGCCGAAGGCAGATGCCTAACGACTGAGCCACCCAGGCGCCCCAAATTCTTTCAGTTTTAATGCTTTTTACTTTTCCATATTTCATATGCAAAATTTGGATCACAGTATATATACACTATTTTTAACTTTTTTATTTTTATTAAAAATGTATCATCATACAATTTAAAAAGCTATGCAGTATTCTGTTTTATGAAGATAGCATCACTTTATCTAGTGTCCCCTGTCAATGGAAATCTAGGGTAGTCCTAATTTCTTTGCTAGTATTCATAGTACAGTGAAAATGCATCTTTGTACACACATCTAATTCATTCCCTAAAATAAACTCAAGAAGTCAAGTTGCTGAACCAAGGCATATACACACTTAAAATTTTGATACATATTAACAGGTAACCCTCTAAAACTATTTTAAAATTTATAATACAAACAATACTTTAAGGGGCTTCTTATTTTCTCATAACACCATTGGGCAATAAAAGTCATTTCTAATCTTTGCTAATCTGACAAGTGACTAAACAATCTCATTTTACTTTGTATTCTTTTAATTAGTAGCAAGGTTGACTAATATAATTGCCATACTTTGTATTTCTTTTACTTGTATATCGCCTGTTTATTTCTTTTGCCCTTTTCCTGCCTAATAACCTATGAGGTTTATCTAGTAACTATAGATAACTTTTATTATGTGCCGTATTTGTCTTATTATATATCTTTTAACTTTACTCATGGTATCTATTGTCCTAAGAAAGTTTAGTACACAGTCAAACCTGTCTTTTGTTTCACATCAAGATTATACAAATATTTTCTTGTATCTTCTTTAAGCACTTTTGTGGTTCAAATCTATTTGGAATTTTACGTGTGTTTGTATCATGTCATATGAATATTTCATGTTATGTTCTTCAAATAGATGAATAATTTTCCCAGTAGCATTTATTGCACAAGCTTTTCCCACTGATTTTTATACAATGCCTTGTCATTTAATAAATATATATAAAAGTATCTTCTTGGGGCACCTGGGTGGCTCAGTCGTTAAGCATCTGCCTTGGGCTCAGGTCAGGATCCCAGGGTCCTGGGATCGAGCCCCACATCGGGCTCCCTGCTCAGCGGGAGGCCTGCTTCTCCCTCTCCCACTTCCCCTGCTTGTGTTCCCTCTCTCGCTTTGTCTCTCTCTGTCAAATAAATAAATAAAATATTTTTTTAAAAAAAAGTATCTTCTTCTGGGGGCACCTGGGTGGCTCAGTCAGTTAAGTGTCCAACTCTTGATCTCAGCTCAGGTCTTGATCTCAGGGTGGTGAGTTCAAGCTCTGTGTTGAAAAAGTATCTTCTTCTGGATTTTCTCTTCTGTTTCATATATATATATATATATATATATATATATATATATATATACACGTGTGTGTATGTGTGTGTGTATATGTATATGGAGTGTGTGTGTATACACTTTTTTTTTTTTTAACTCCTGTGCTGGTATCAATATGTTTTAGTTACTGTAGGTTTATGGGTCAGAAACACAATGGGATAATGTCTTTAAGATGGTGTGGTGAGGGAGAAACCTTTAATTTAGAATTATATTCCCAGCTGAACTATCATTCAAGAGGAGGATAAATTAAAGACATTTGAGTTAAGCAAAGATTAAAAAGATATATCACTCACAGCCCTTTTGAAATAACTACTGTGTTATTTGGAATGAAGAAAAATGAACCCAAGAGAAGCAATGAAATTCAATATGCAATGGCAAGAAAATAAATTGGTAAACATGAGAGGAAACCTAATAAACACAGAATGAATAAAATAATAATTAATTTTTGGAGGTACAGAAATAAAGTAAAACCAAATACTGGATAATAACAAGATGAGAGGTGAATAATTTTGGCTGGAACTTTCGAAGAATCTTTATTTGGAAAGAGAAATATCTATTAGAGAGAGTGGCATGAATTCTCAAATTAATCAAGAATGCATGCTAAAATAGAACTGTCACTAAAAGAATTGAAACAGAATGTATGACTTCCAAACTAGCAGAAGAGGTAAAATAAAACAAGAAAATGGGATCAATTCCAAAAAGGAAAAAAAGAAAATATATGATGAAATTGTTAAAATCCTAAAATAAGATGACAGAAATGAATTCAGATATCAGTGATCACAATAAACATAAATAGACTAAATTTATCAAGAGCAACTCGGAGATCACATTTTTTTAGCTAGACATTGACTAGTTGTAAGGGATACATCTAACACATAGAAAACTGAAAATAAAGGGATAGAAAAAGATTGCAGGCAAAAATTAACCAAATAAATCAGTTACGCTATCAATATCAGACAATATAAACTTTAAAGGGCATAAATCATTATTAAGACCTCATCAGATTATAAAAGGAAGATAAATAATTCTAAACCCATAAACATCAAAACAACAAAACAAGAAAACACAGCCTACAAACATAACAGCAAAAAGTGACTAAAAGAAAAAGATAAATTGACAAATACATTATTATAATGCATTTTTTTAAAGATTTTATTTATTTATTTGATAGAGACATAGCGAGAGAGGGAACACAAGCAGGTGGAGTGGGAGTGGGAGAAACAGGCTTCCTGCTGAGCAGGGAGCCTGATGTGGGACTCGATCCCAGGACCCTGGGATCATGACCTGAGCCGAAGGCAGATGCTTAACCGACTGAGACACCCAGGCGCCGCTATAATGCATATTTTAATGTATCTTTCTCAGCAACTGACAGAGCAAACCATTGGGGGAAAAGGCAGAATACAGAACATTGGAATTGTACAATTCACAAGTTTGAGCTATAAAAACTCATGGAATTTGCAAAAATTATCACATACTAGTTTATGAATAAAATTTTAACAAAAATTGGTATCATATAGATCATATTCTTTGATCACAAAAAATAACAAAAATATATAACTTCCAAGCCCTTATAAAGTTTAGCACAAAAATATTTCTAAAGATCCCTTGGTTAAAGACAAAAATACAAAATGAAAATTAAGAAAGACATTAGTCAGGATGTCATTAACATGGGTACAACTTTTGTATGCATCCCCCCCCCAAAAAAACCTAAAAGTTATATCTGCAAAATGCCTAGTTTCTATAGTCCCACCATTATGTTTGTTCACTAAATTCAGTTGTCCACATTTAAAAAAAGAAATATTAGTTAGGAGGTCTGATTACACTTAAATTACTTGCTCCCAAGAAAATTTATCTGAATTTCTTATCCTTGGCTTATCAAAGTAGAAGGAAGGGCTCTATCTATCTAGAGATAATTGAATCAAACTGTTTACTAAAAGAACTAAAAGCCTAAAATATAATTCACTTTATTAGTAATCAGAGAGCTATAGGTATTATTTAAGATCAGTTATACCCCCAGGGTCAAATGGAACAAAATGTTTGGTTTAAGAAAGCACCTTTCTGATCACACATCTCCTTTTTGTAGAGTATACAAGGAAAAAGAGTTTCCAAAACAGGTTTACATACAAAGAGAGAGGTTTTGAATCCATGCACTCAAACTTATTTGACCAACTTTCACTTACAAAGCCCTATATACTGGGCCCTGTACTGAGTCCTAGGGATTCTAAGATCAGCAACATAAAGCCCTTGGCAGGGAACTCACTGGTTTCTACCAAGGACATTTCTAGTGTCATGGCTTTCCCACTGTAATCTCTGCAGTCACCGGGTGTGCCTCTGAGCAAGCCTGATGAGGAACTCTACCAAACAGGAGCGTTCCCTATTAGAAAGTGGTAAATCGCCCCGAGAAAAGAGGATGATGATAAATGGTGATGACAATGACAACAATGAGAGCTAACACCTACTGGGGAAGCCTCTACATGTCAGACACTGTGTATTGTATTTACATTATCTCATTCTGAAAACTGCCGTAGAGGACAGGTGCTCTTATCATCTCCGTGATACAGAGGATTGAAAACAGGCTCAAGGGCGCTCAAATAACCTGCCCAGGGTAGCAAAGCTAGAAAATGGTGAAGGCTGCATATAAACTCAAGCAGTCTGAATCCACAGCTGGTGCTTTTACTACTTTATACCACCTCCCTATCAAGTCCCTTTCATGTGTATATACAGCAGATGAATCAAGAGATGGCATCTGAAAGATGTGGATTTATTCTCCCAACACAGAGAAACAGACCAAACATGTGGCTATTCCGATTGTTTTCCTGGCTATGTTTCAGCATATCCTTATAATGAAGACTTACCCTCAAGTTAGCCTGAGTGGTTATCTTCCCACCATTTAAACCCCCATATTAATATTTCCATAGAAAAGACAAGATTGGTGCAGAAGAAAAAGGTGATAACAGAAGAGACGTGATTTCTTTTTTTTTTTTTTTTTTAAGATTTTGTTTATTTATTTGACAGAGAGAGACACAGCGAGAGAGGGACACAAGCAAGGGGAGTGGGAGAGGGAGAAGCAGGCTCCCGGCTGAGCAGGGAGCCCGATGCGGGACTCGATCTCAAGACCCTGGAACCATGACCTGAGCCAAAGGCAGATGCTTAACGACTGAGCCACCCAGGTGCCCCAAGAGACATAATTTCTAAAGCGGGGAGTGAAATGGTGTAGGAGGATCCAGGATGCAGATAGGTTCCTAATCTTCCAAGACTGGAGAGAAGGAAGACGATGGATGGAGGGTTTATTGAGAGGGCAGACAATGAGAGTGCTGGGAAAGGAGGGAGGCATCATTAAGAAAATTCACTCCTGGGGTGCCTGGGTGGCTCAGTCCTTAAGGGTCTGCCTTCAGCTCAGGTCATGATCCCAGGGTCCTGGGATGGAGCCTCTCATCGGGCTCCCTGCTCGGCGGGAAGCCTGCTTCTCCCTCTCCCACTTCCCCTGCTTGTGTTCCCTCTCTCGCTGTCTCTCTCTGTGTCAAATAAATAAGTAAAAATCATAAAAAAAAAAAAAAAAGAAAATTCACTCCTAATTGTCCTTCTCTTGATCAGTAAAGGGCTAAATACCCAAATGTTTGCATATCAACCCATCTCATTCCTTTTGCAATCTCCAAAGATAATAAAAAATTTTTTTCGGGGCGCCTGGGTGGCTCAGTCGTTGAGCGTCTGCCTTCGGCTCGGGTCATGATCCCAGGGTCCTGGGATCAAGCCCCGCATTGGGCTCCCTGCTCCGCGGGGAGCCTGCTTCTCCCTCTCCCACTCCCCCTGCTTGTGTTCCCTCTCTCGCTGTCTTTCTCTCTCTCTCAAATAAATAAAATCTTTAAAATATATATATATTTTTTTTCTTAGACAGCCCTACCCAATTTCTTTTTGGCCAAATTCAATGACCATTTCTCTTGTTCTCTTTTCCATGAAATATTTTTTTCCAGTTTTATTGAGAAATAATTGCCATATATCACTGTGTAAGTTTAAGGTATAGAGCATAATGGTTTGGCTTACATATACTGTGAAGTGATTACTACAGTAAGTTCAGTTAGCATCCATCATCTCACATAGATAAATAAAGAGAGAAAGGAAAGAAAGAAATTTTTTCTTTCAGAACCCTTAGGATTTACTCTTAATAACTTTCATACATATATAGCAGTGTTAATTACAGTCATCATGCTGTACATTACATTGCTAGTATTTATTTATCTTGTAACTGGAAGTTTGTACCCTTGACCACTTTTCCCCAATTCCCTTCCCCCCCACACCCTGCCTCTGGTAACCACAAATCTGTTATCTTTTTCTAGGACTTTGGGCTTTTTGTTTTGTTTTTTTATTTTTTTATTTTTTATTTTATTTTTTTTTTTAAAGATTTTATTTATTTATTTGAGACAGAGAGAATGAGAGAGAGAGCACATGAGAGGGGGGAGGGTCAGAGGGAGAAGCAGACCCCCTGCTGAGCAGGGAGCCCGATGCGGGACTCGATCCCGGGACTCCAGGATCATGACCTGAGCCGAAGGCAGTAGCTTAACCAACTGAGCCACCCAGGCGCCCCTGTTTTTGTTTTTTTAGATTCCACATGTAAGTGAGATCATACAGTATGTGTCTTTCTCTGACTTACTTCACTTAGCATAATACCCTCAAGGTCCATCCATGTTGTCATAGATGAAAGGATTTCTTTGTGTGTGTTTTTTAATGGCTGGATAACGTTCCATTTTTACACACACACACACACACACCAAATTCTTTATCCATTTACCTGTCAATGGACACTTAGGTTGTTCCCATGCCTTGGCTATTATAAATAATGCTGCTAGGAACATGGGGGCGCAGATATCTTTCTGAGTGAGTGTCATGAAAGATTTTTTTAACTACATCTCTGTACTCTGCCTGGGCAAGACTGTACTGCATTAAAACTCCTCATAATTTATATGAACTTTTCAAAGAGGGGGAGAGAAAGGAAGGAAAACGAAAATTTAGTACCAAACACTGTGCTAGGTCTTTTTTTTTTTTTTAAGATTTTATTTATTTATTTGAGAGAGAGAGAGCATGAGAGGGGGGAGGGTCAGAGGGAGAAGCAGACTCCCTGCCGAGCAGGGAGCCCGATGTGGGACTCGATCCCGGGACTCCAGGATCATGACCTGAGCCGAAGGCAGTCGCTTAACCAACTGAGCCACCCAGGCGCCCCTGTGCTAGGTCTTTACGTCTTTTTTTCACATGCATTCCTCACAAAACTCCATGAAACAGATATCTTCTTTTCAGAGATAAGAAAACCGAGCGTCAGGGGTGCCTGGGTGGCTCAGTCATTAAGTGTCTGCCTTCGGCTCAGGTCATGATCCCGGGGTCCTGGGATCGAGCCCCACATCGGGCTCCTTGCTCAGCCAGGAGCCTGCTTCTCCCTCTCCCAATCCCCCTGCTTGTGTTCCCTCTCTAGCTGTCTCTCTGTGTCAAAAAAAAAAAAAAAAAAGTATAAAAAATAAATAAAAAAGAAAACCAAGGGCCAGAAAGGTTAAGTTTGAGCATAGTCACAGTTCAAGAAGTAATGAGACAAAAAATGAGCTTCAGTCTTTGGAAGTCCTGGCCTCTTGTTCTTCCCGCCACATACACCGCCCCCTGCAGGCGGATTATGCAGGTGCTCCTGCCCTGGTCCCAAACCACCAGGGCTATGGCTAGCCGTCCAACAGAAAGTAGGACAATAAGAGCATTCTTATCCTAAGACTAAATTGTAAATCACTTTTTAAAAAATACACTCACCTTAAAATATTAACTTAAAACATGAAACATTGATTTGCAATCTTTTGTCAAAGGGCTAAGGCTTTCTCCTTCAGTACCTCCACCAATTAAATCACAAGTAACTTGTCTACATAGGCCACGTCCGTGATACACTGTCTCTGAATTTTCAATTCCACCTTCCTTAAAACAGAGCAAGAGCTTAGGCACTCATAAAGCAATCCAAATTCAGATTTTTTCTAGGGTTTATGACCCCTCCCCCCCAATCTCACTCATATCTAATTCCATAGCTACTAGTCCTTTACAGTTAATGCAAGCACTACACCCAACATGGGGCTTAACTCACAACCCCGAGATGAAGACTCGACTGAGCCAGCCAGGTGCCCCTCCTGTACAGTTTTATCCAAAGCTTTCACAGAAATGATTGTCTTTTCCTACTCATATTTCATATGCTTGCATAAATTCTAATTAAATTATATAATTTGACAGTTACAATGAGTGGAAACAGGTTTTGGAAGAAACCCACTGGTTACTGATAAAGGTATAACTGAAGGCGGGGGAGCAGAAATGCTCGAATGTTTTAGAGAATTACCAGTACACACTGGTCATGGGTATTGGCAGGGTATTTTACAAAGAAAACAGAAAACATCAGTGATTCTAGAGGACTTCTGCTATACTACAATATAGCTGGATGAGATGTCTTATCTATTATATACATTTTTTAAAAAGGACAGAGAGGGGCGCCTGGGTGGCTCAGTCGTTAAGCGTCTGCCTTGGCTCAGGTCATGATCCCAGGGTCCTGGGATCGAGCCCCGCTTGGCGGGAAGCCTGCTTCTCTCTCTCCACTCCCCCTGCTTGTGTTCCCTCTCTCGCTGTGGGTCTCTCTCTGTCAAATAAATAAATAAAATCTTTAAAAAAAAAAAAAAAAAGGACAGAGAATGTTCAAAAGGCAGAGCTCCTAAGAGACTGTCAGGGAGAAAAGAGACTCTTGTTTTAAATTTTTCAAATAGTTACAAAGAGATAAATTACAACTAACCACAGGCAAAATATTGACTAGCAGAGTAACGGGAAAAGTACAGGCAGAGCTAATGTGAGTGCGCATAAACCAGCAAGTGTGTACAAACGAATGAATCAAGTTAGCCAGGTGGAGAGAGCAGGATGTAGGCATTCTTGTCAGCTGTTACTCTAATGTGCCCATTTTTCTTTGTTTTTCATGGATGTATGCACCTATGTGTGGATACACACACACGTATGATATGAAGACATACCCTCGTAACGCAGAATCTATGTTCTATGTGCTTTCCATAGTTCTATCATGTTTCTGACTCCTCTACAGATCTTCTCTAGAAAGCTAATAGAGGATAGGCACAAGTCTTTCCCATAGCTATCCAAGTAACCCACCAGACACTCTACTTTCTTGTCACAGCTTTCCCTGTGAACATTTACCAGAACTTCCTCCTTAGACCTCTCAAGGCCTCAGGCTGATGGTCATCCAACCCAGTTGCGTACTTCAGTGGCCAGAGTTCTCAAATTCATGCAGCAGCCCATTGTGTTGTCAGACTACTTGAATCGTAGAAAGATCTTCCCTATATTGGGCCAAGATGTGCCTCCCATAACCCGTTCCTGTTTACCTCCGCTCTGTCCTCCGCAGCTACAGGGAATAAGTCAGTGCCCCCTCCAGTGGGACAGAATACACATACTTGAAGATAATGACCAAGTCCTAAATCTCCTCTCACGCAGGCTACCTGTCCCCAGTCCCTCCGCCTGTCCTGACAGAGCTGTCAGCGTGGCCCACACATGATGAAAGGGGAAGCGAAAACTCACCACACTTGACCATCCCCACTTCATAGCACTTCCGAAGTCGGCAGGCCTGGCAGCTTTTGCGTCGATTCTTATCTATCGTACACTGATTTGTAGCTGGGCAAATGTAATCATTATGTCCTACAGCAGAGGGGAAAAAAAAAAGGCAGGCTATTGTTACAATATTTTGATTAAATATCTTCCCAGTCAACAACACTGATAATGCTACTCAGCTGAGAGGTAGGCGACATCCTCTTAATGACAGGTACGGGTACAAAGGCCAAAGTTCGGTCTCATGAGTGCCTTGTTGGTGAGTCAAGAGAACCTAGGAATATTTCCGTATCTTACTCTTTGACTAATAGGCTATTCTCCACCTGTTCTTCGAATTCTCAAGAGATACATTAGAAATATTCTCCTGTGGACATGGAAAGTGAGACAGTCGCCTGAAACTGGTGCTGTAAATCACAGAATCTCCTCAAGAACAGGACTTGTGCCTCAGGTCGCCAAATTCAACCGCTTATATCCTTTCATGTATATCCCTCTTGGGAACTGAACATGATATTTTTATGGGAATTCATAGTCAAATAAGAGAATGAAACTAATCAATAAGAGGACCAAGAAATGAGCAACCTGAAGAACCAAAAGAACTGCCACTTGAGGCTGGTGGTGATTATTGTTCTCAATTCCCCACTGCCTCCCTCAGCCCTGTGACCTCGAAGTGCACTCGAGCGGGCAGAGTGTGCTTGCCCACCGACTGATGTTGAGGTTGGCCATGAAACTTGTTTTAGCCAGTGGTACGTTAGTAGATGGAATACTCCAACAGTCTGGCTTGGCCTCTTGAGCTCCCAAGAGGAAAAAAAAAAAAATGCCTCAGGTAGTCGCTGGCCCAAGGAGAATGTGGAAACACATGGCGCAGACCGGAACTCAACCCAGAGCTCAGAGCCGAGCCTTGAGAAGTAGAGCCACCCTCCCTGACCACCGGACCAAAAAACATGGTTCCACGATTGGACCAAAATCAAGTTTTATAATTCTCTCCCACTTTAGGTAGATTCCAGTAACACTTGTTCAACCAAACACAAATTCAGTTGTTTGTGACTTTGCCACCATTCCCTGAGCTGGCCTGGGGTGGCAGCAAAGGTGTAGACTGCACAGTTCTAGAAACAGGAGGACAGCTTTCCCCAGAGATGCAAAAACCATTGCCCCGACATGGGGCTCAACCTCACAAACCTGAGATCGTGACCTGAACTGAAATCAAGAGTCAGATGCCAGCCACGTACAGGAAACCTGGAATGCCAATATTTCTGACATACCTACTGATTTCCAGATCCTTTATCATTTCATGTAATCCTATAACTTCCCTATGAAGAGCTAGGATTCCCATTTTTCCAAAGAAAACAAGTTAGCTCAGTTCAATAATCTCCTTAAGGTCATGGTTTTAGTTTTCCATGCTGCATAACAAATTTCTACAAACTTATAAGCTTAAAACCAAACGAATTTATTATCTCGTTTCCATGAGTCAAGAATCCAGGCACAGGGACGCCTGGGTGGCTCAGTTAAGCGTCTGCCTTCGGCTCAGGTCACGATCCCTGGGCCCTGGGATCAAGTCCCGCATCAGGGTCCTTGCTCAGCAGTCTGCTTCTCCCTCTTCCTCTACAGCTCCCCCTGCTTGTGCACTCTCTGACAAATAAATAAAATCTTATATTAAAAAAAAAAAAAAAATCCAGGCACAGCTTACTCTACTCAGTGTTTCAAAAGGCTGCAATCAAGGTGTTGGCTGGGCTGTGGTTTCATCGGAAGCTCAGGGTCTTCTTCCAAGCTCATACAAGAGGTTTGTAGAATCAGCTCCTTGCAGCTGTCGGACCAAGGTTCCCATTTTCTTGCTGGCCATCAGCCGGGCACTGCTGTCTACTCGTAGAGGAACCAGTTCCCCACCCAAAAGCAGTTCGCAGCATGATGCTTGCTTTCTTCCAGGCCAGGAGGGGCATTTCTCTGACTTCTAGTCTGTCTTCACTCCGCTAGGATGGAGTCTTACAAAAGTATAGCATAATCATAAGACTCCCCCAATACCACTTGCCATATAAGATAACCCAACTGCTGAAGCAACTCTCATATTTACAGGTTCCACACACACTCAAGAGTAGGGTGTAAAATATGAGGAATTCTTAATCTCAGGAAACAAACTGAGGGTTGCTAGAGTGGTGGGGGGTGGGAGGGATGGGGTGCCTGGGTAATAGACATTGGGGAGGGTATGTGCTATGGTGAGCACTGCGAACTGTGTAAGACTGTTGAATCACAGATCTGTACCTCTGAAACAAATAATACATGTTAAAAAAAAAAAAAAGAAGATAGCAGGAGGGGAAGAATGAAGGGGAGGAAATCGGAGGGGGAGACAAACCATGAGAAACTATGGACTCTGAAAAACAAACTGAGGGTTCTGGGCGGGGGGGGGGAGGGGTTAGCCCAATGATGGGTATTAAGGAGGGCACATTCTGCATGGAGCACTGGGTGTTATACGCAAACAATGAATCATGGAACACATCAAAAATTAATGATGTAATGTATGGTGATTAACATAATAAAATAAATTAAAAAAATAAAAGAGTAGGAGGTAATATAAGGTATAACTTTTTTTTTAAAAAGAATAGATAATTATCGTTACTGCTTTTATCCTCACTTATAATATTCAAAACTATATTTTAAAAGCCAAGACATATTTCCAATCAGAAACTTTCGATTGTCCTGTAGAACATAATGCTTTATGGCTAGAAGGTAAATGTAACCCCACAGTACTTTCCATTGCAATAGCAATCTTTTAAAGACCTTCTAAAAATTCAAAGGACAATATATGAATGTCATCCTTTTGGGTTTTATAAAGAGGTTTATAACAGTAAGGGACAAGAAGTTCATTTTTTTTCTCTTCTCAGTTTATTTTAAAAGGTCATTTTACTTAAAAAAATCAGAAAGCACAGTCATATGAACACACTAAATAAAAAATAGCCTAGAAAATGTCTTATGCAAGAAGGTCAGGGTAATTGAATTCACTTCTGACAAAAAAGAAAAAAGTCCTCCTCAAACTACACGAACTACCTTACATATTAAAATGGTTTTCTTGGAGTACCAGGGTGGCTCAATCAGTTAAGCATCTGACTCTTGATTTCAGTTCAGGTCACGATCTCAGGTTTGTGAGATTGAGCCCCATGTCGGGCTCTGTGCTCAGTGCGGAGTCTGCTTGGGGATTCTCTCTCTCCCTCTTTCTCTGCCCCCTCCCCCTAAAAAAAATTAATAAAATGGTTTTCTTGTCCCATGCAACAGTTGAGAAGCACACTATTCCATACTAATAGAACTCAGAAAAGTTCAAAGCAAAATTAAAAGCAAAATATGTACCTAATTCTTTAACATATAAAGCTTTACAGGAAAATGTGCTTTTTATAATCTAAAACATAGCAGATTATCTCTGTACTCTCTACAAATTGAGTCTGTCTGAACACCTGTTGTCATTTATATCCAACCACATGGTGGGGAGAGATAGCTCTGGACTTGGGATCAGAAGATCTGAGTTTCAGCTCAGTTCAGCCTCCCGGTCTTGGTCACTTCAAAAATAGAACAAGGTTTATTACCCGCACCCTCCCTGGCACGCTTCTTCCTCAACAGCAGTCAACGACCTTGCATCTTATTCCCTCAGGACATCCTTCATGACTTCAAGGCCAAATAAGTCCCAAGTAACGGAATATGTGCCTCCAAGGTAAGAATCTTCTACATAGGGACGCCTGGGTGGCTCAGTTGGTTAAGCGTCTGACTTTGGCTCGGGTCATGATCCCAGGGTCCTGGGATCGAGTCCCGCATCGGGCTCCCTGCTCAGTGGGGAGCCTGCTTCTCCCTCTGCCTGCCGCTCCCCCTGCTTGTGCTCTGTCAAATAAAATCCTAAAAAAAAAAGAATCTTCTACGTAACCTACCAACTGTCAGAGCTTCCCATTTAAAGCTCAGCCTCTAAAGCCGTAAAAAGCAAAGCGTTAAAGATCCGTGAGTAGCACTCAAATAGATTTTAACTCTCAAAGGACAATGATAAAACGTTATTATGATTACCAGTATGAAAGTAAATAGAATAGTATTACTGCTATATATGGAAATAAAATGAATAGCCCAAAAGAATGAAATTTACAGAAATACCCCGGAGAAATGTACCTGGTATATATATTAATTTTTTTTTAAAGATTTTATTTATTTATTTGACAGAGAGAGACACAGTAAGAGAGGGAACACAAGCAGGGGGAGTGGGAGAGGGAGAAGCAGGCTTCCCGAGGAGAAGGGAGCCCGATGCGGGACTCGATCCCAGGACCCTGGGACCACGACCTGAGCCGAAGGCAGACGCTTAACGACTGGGCCACCCAGGTGCCCCAGATATATATATTCTTAAAAAACTAACAAAACTGTATAAGAGATAGGAAATGCCTAAATAACTGGAGACATAACGTGTTCTTGATGAGAAGACTATTACAAAGATTCCTTCCAAAATAATTCTTAGGTTTAACAAAATCTCCACTTTTTTTTAACATTAAGGATAGGAGGCCACTTAATAAAATTACTCTAATGTTCCTATGAATAAACAAAAGAAAATAGCCAGGATGCTTTTAAAATAGGAGGTATATATATTGGTGTGTATTAAAATGTGTTACAAAATAATAATAGTAAAAGTAAAAAATAAAACTAAAATAGTTAAAATAATGTGGTACTTATAAGAATGAAGAACTAGGTCAACAGAACAGAATAAAACAGTATATATAAGTATTTAATATATTATAGAAAAAAAGGTTAATGAACACATGAAAAGATGCTCAAAAAGATCAGTAATCAGGGAAACTCAAATTAAAACAACAACGAGACACAATTATATACCCAATAGAATATCTAAAATTAAAAAGGCTGACGGGACGCCTGGGTGGCTCAGTTGGTTAAGCGACTGCCTTCAGCTCAGGTCATGATCCTGGAGTCCCTGGATCGAGTCCCGCATCGGGCTCCCTGCTCAGCAGGGAGCCTACTTCTGCCTCTGACCCTCCCCCCTCTCATGTGCTCTCTCTCTCTCATTCTCTCTGTCTCAAATAAATAAATTAAAAAAAATCTTTAAAAAAAAAAAAAAAGGCTGA